AGGGGGGTGTAGGATTAGGCAGTCTTCCAATAATTGCTCCTTTCTTTTTCCAGAGTGGCAGTGGCAATGGCAACTTTTACTACAAAAGAAAGAATTGCAACCCTTCTAAACTGGCTCCATTTGGCTCACCCCCCCCCTCCTGATCTCAGCCCCTCCCCCCATAAAACCCTCCCTCCAGGAATGAAAACCAAGGAAGAAAAACCTGTTTAATTTTGTCTTTGTTGGGTCTGAAGCTAGATGCTTTTTTTGGCTCCCCCTTCCCTCTGACCCCCGGGGTGCTTGGAACACTACATCGGGGAAGGGCTTATTTGGCGGGGGGGAGAGAAATTGACAGAAGGGGGTGGGAAACTTGCCTTGGGATGCTTTTTTTTGGGAGAGAATCTCCTCAAATCCCTGTGGAGGGTGGGGTCCCCAAAACTTAGCCATTGAATCTCCAAGAACCCCAAAAAATCCCTTTGGATCTCAGGTCCCCCAACCACACCAATCCAGGATCCTCCTGCAAACAGGGGTCCTGCAAACCCTGCAGCTCTTGGGTCTGACTGAAAACAGAATCTTCCCACCCCTTTACCCTCTCCTAGGTCAAAAAGGCTAGTGAGTAACCATCCTGCTGCCTTCTCATTGGTCGAGGCAACTGCAAGCTATCTGCTTCCTGTTGCGCCCCTCCCCCAGCTAAAGGGCAGCATTGCTAGGGGTGATGCCCCAATTCTGGGACTCTTGGGCCCCCTCCCCCACATAAAAGGGCATGTCTACCTGTCAAGGGGGAGGATGGGACTCACCTGGCTGAGGGGTGTAGCTGTTCTCCCTGCTGTGCTGGACCCAGGGTGTACCCAGTGCCCCCGGGGTCACCTCCCTGCTGGAGCTCTTGGGGTGGGGACAAAAGTGGGGGTTCCTGGGTCACTCACTAGCTCCTCCCTCCTCCAGGTTCATCCCCTCCTGCCCTGCTGTCAAGGGGTCAGCGCCTGCCCCCAACACATTTGTTAATCAGCCTCAATAAAACAAGTTTAATACGAAGCATGTCTCCTGCTGTGTCCAGCTCCAGGGTGCAGGTGGGAAGCCCAAGAAAGGAGGCTTGTTGAGCTGGGGGAAGCTCAAGGACCTGACTGGGGTGAAGAGTCCTGTGGGCAGATCCCCGATTAGTGGGGGTAATGTTTAGTGCTTTAGGAGCAGGGGTTCAGAAAGGTGCAGCACTCTGGCCCAGCCATCCCCCTTACCTTCTAGAAGTTCTGGGGGCACTGAGGATTGTAGGACTTGGCCTGTGCTGCAGAGTTCCTGCCATGGGAGAGGGGAATCCTCCCTCTCCACTGCAAGAGAGCCCATGGGTGTGAGGTGCCTCTAATTCCACTCACTGGTTTCTGCTCTGCTGCCCTCCTGGTTGCCACAGATCCTGGGGGCTGCCTGAGCCAGACAGGCTTTACATGGGGGACGAGGGAGGTGCAAAGAAGGCATCTGGAGCAAGAAGTGTGGCCCCCCCCACCATTTTCTGAGTCTGACCTAGCCTGTTGTGCAGGGATGGGGACTTTGGGGGAGATAGTCTTGGAGAAACTAGTGAGGGGACAGCCATGGGTGGCTCCATCTCCGCTTGGAAATCCCCTTGTGTGGAGTGGCAGGGGGAGGGGGATTGTAGCAACACCAGGCCCTCCAGGGGTAGAATAACCTGCCAGGGTGCTGAGGGGTCATGTGTACTCAAGGGCTATTGTGCCAGAGCAGGAAGGGACAGATAGTTGAGGCCAGGAGTACTCAATGGGCAGAGTTATTTACCAGGGCAGGATGTGACAGATGGGAGGTGGGGCCATGCCCACCTAGGGGGAAGTTATGTGCCAGAGCAGGATGTGATGGGAGATATGGCCAAGCACACCCGGGGTAGAGTTATGTGCTAGGATAAGATGTAACATGCAGGAGGTGCAGCCAGGATCACCCCGTGGTGGAATTGTGTGGAAGTGGGATCAGGTACCCTCCAGCTACAAAGTTATGTGCTGTGGCAAGATGGGAGGGAGGTAAGGCCAAGCACACCCAGGGGTGAAGTTATTTGTGGGGGCAGCCAGCAGGTGGTTGTGTCAGGGCATAGTAAGACACATGGGAGGTGGGGCTAAGCACTACAAGGAGCTGTAGTTATGTGCTGAGGCAAGATGGGACAGATTTGATGCAGGCCAAGTACAGCCAGGGTGGGCAATAATTTTCACAGCAGGACAACTTAAGGAATTTTGCTGTGGTCATGAGCTGAGGCCACCCTTAAAAGGGGTAAGGCCTGAAGTAGAAGGGGTGGGAGTTGGGGAGGGAGGCTTTGAATTAAACACAGCAAAGGGCTCATAGGTCCCAGGCCTACCACTACTGCATTTCCTGGCTGCTGTCCAGAGTTGCTGAGGCTATTTAAAAGGTTTAGGGCACCAGCCCCTGCCAAGTAGTACTGCAACTGGGAGCTGAGATTCATTTAAAGAGGATCCTGCTGCCTGAGCCACCTGGAAATTCAGTGCACAGGCAACAGGATATAAATAGAAAGCAACCAGATGCAATCCACAGGCTGCATCAGTGTTAGATGGACTGGACTGGGCCTCTAGTCTGCATCTTGCCCAGTCCTGAATGAAATGCTGGGGTAGGGAGTGACAGATGGCAGCAGGGCCAGCACAACCACAGGGTGGAATTATGAGCTAGGGCAGGATATAACAGATGAAGTGGCTAGGCACCCATCAGGGTATTATGCCTGGAACCACCTCCATGACACAGTCAGGAGGCGGAGGCAGAGGCATAGGCCAGAACAGGATGATGCATGGTAGGTCAGGAACAGCCAGGAGATGGAGTTGTGTGCTGGGCCAGGCTAGGATAGATGGGAAATGCTAGGGTAGGATGGTACAGAGAGGAGGTAGGGCCAGGCCCCAACAGGGGGAGAAGTTATGTGCCCAGGCAGGAAGGGACACGTGGGAGGGGGGGTGTCCAGGTGGGAAACAGATGGAGACCTGGCAGTAGAAAAGCCAAGGAGAGGAGTCTCCCAGTCACTAGGTCATACAGCAGTACCCTCCCAAAGCTCAAAGACCACATTCTGTCAATGGAACCTCCCTGTTTATTGGGGGCCAGTGTCTGCACCCCTTCCCCAGAGCAGGGGCTCACTTGTGGTAAAAGCGCTGGCTCTGGGTATGCTGGATAAAGGGGTGACGTGAGGCAGGCTGGCCACTGGCAGGGAATCCAGCCTGTGAGAGAGAGAGAGAGAGAGAAAGAAAAATGCCTCCCCACTGATGCCCCAAAGGGGCTGAGAGAAGGCAACCAACCCCCCACTAATCTTGTGGGGCTGCTGGGCTGGGAAGAGCAAGGCTCACTCAGCCTGCAGAACCGGGCCGGGAGGGGGAGGAGGGGGGTGTCACTCACCTTGGCGGCCGGTTGCATCTGGACGGGGATCTGAGGGGTGGGCAGCAGGGTCTGGTTAGGGTGCATGGCCTGGGGGTGCATTGGGCGCAGGGTCGACTGCGAAGACAGAAGCAGAGCACTAGAGGCCAGACCCCATGATCCAACCAGTCCCTGCCCGGGGGCTGGATGGGAGTTGGCACCCACTAGAGGGGACAGGACCCATCCCCACCCCCACTGAAACCAGCCAGTCATTGTGCTGGGGCTAGATGGAAACTGGAACACCCTAAGTGAGGACAAGCCCCAGAGGACTCACCGAGTCGGTGAAACCTGACTGCTGGTTGGCATGTTCCAGCTGCTTCTGTAGAGGGATGGTTGTGCTGGAGGGGATGAAACCTGACAAAGAAAGGAAGGGGGGCTCATGGCTCAGTGTTGGGGGGCTGGGCACCAGAAGGGAGTTTGGGGCAGGGTTTAGTCACATGCCAGACTTAGCAGACAAATGGGTCTCACCCAGCTGGGATAGGGAAGGGACTAGGGTGGAGGGGGTGAACACAGGGTGAACAGGGAAAAGGTGTCAGAAGGGATCACAGTCATGCTGGAAGGTATAACAAGTGGGGTTCCTCGGGGTCAGTTTTGGGTCTGGTTCTGTTCAATATCTTCATCAGTGATTTAGATGATGGCATAGAGAATACGCTTAATAAGTTTGCAGATGATACCAAGTTGGGAAGGGTTGCAAGTGCTTTGAAGGATAGGGTCAGAATTCAAAGTGATCTGGAGAAACAGGCTGAGGTAAATAAAGTTACCAGGACAAATGCAAAATACTCCACTTAGGAAGAAATAATCAGTTGCACAAATACAAAATGAGAAATGACCCTCTAGCAAGGATACTGCAGAAAGGGGTCACGGTGGACGGCAAGCTAAATATGGGTGAACTGTTGCAAAAAAAGAAACATTCTGGGATGTATTAACAGGCATGTTGTGAGCAAGACATGAGAAGTAATTCTTCTGCTCTACTCTGCACTGATTAGGCCTCAACTGGAGTAATTGTGTCCAATTCTGGGCACATTTCAAGAAAAATGTTGAGAAATGTGAGATGGTCTAGAGAAGAGGGTTAAAGATCTAGAAAACATGACCTATGAGGCAAGACTGAAATAAGTGGGCTTGTTTAGTTTGGAAAAGAGAAGACATAACAGTACTGAAAAGTGTTACAAGGACGAGGGAGAAAAGTTGTTCTCTTTGGCCTCTGAGGATACGACAAGAAGCAAAGGGCTTAAAGTGCAGCAAGGGAGGTTTAGGCTAGACATTAGGAAAAGCTTCTTGTCAGGGTGATTAAACACTGGAATAAATTGTCTAGGGAGGTTCTGGAATCTCCATCACAGGAGATATTTAAGAGCAGGTTGAACAGACATCTATCAGGGCTAATCTCGATCATGGCTACTCAATTTTGGAAGCCCAGGAGCCACAATACTCTCAGCACATGCTGAGGGTTGCAACTTAAGTGTGGTTGCATATACATGCAAATAGCTTCTTTCACATTGACGGGCATGAATACAAAGGTTAAGGCAAGACTACACAATATACCGGCCTCTTAAGTCAGTTTTGCTGATATTAATAAAATACAGTATTTACCCAATTTCCACCCATATGACAGCACTTTTAACGAGCAATGACAGTCCAGGAATTTAACTGCTAAAATACATATCAACAGAAGATATTGACTACTTTTTTTTTGGCTACCACCCATGGGCTGTGTGTTGAGCCCCGCGTAAATCCAAACCGTACCACAGGCTGTGGGCCGCATGTTGAGTAACCCTGATCTAGATGGTGCTTGGTTCTGCCATGAGGGCAGGGGACTGGACTTGAACTGTTGAGGTCCCTTCCAGTTCTAATGTTCTATGAGGGTTTGCCCAGCTGGGATGGGAGAAGGCATCAGGGGGTCTGTCCTAGGTAATCAGGTAGGGCATAAGAGGGTCTCATCTAGCCAGGTGGGGTGGGGGGGAGAGTCAGACAGGGAGGAGTTATCAGGGGGTCTCACCTGGCTGAGCAGGAGGGAAGTGCCCATGCAGTGCGTAGCCTGGCGGCTGCTGTGACAGGTACTGCATGGCAGGGAAGGCTGAGGGGCCTGTGGGGCAGAAAGTGAGGGTTAGAGCTCTGTCCCAACCCAGTGCCACCACCTCCCTTCGTCCCCCCAGCCCCCTGTGCCCTGGAACCACTCCAATTAAGCTGGTCCCCACTCCAGGCTTTGACTCACCACGGATGGGCTGGCTGCTGGCATAGCTGACAGGCACGGCTTGGCCTGGGGCAAAGTGCTGGCCCTGCCCCACAGCATAGGGGCTGTGCCCAGCCTGCCCGCTCTGGTACTGCCCATGCTCCGGGGTGCCGGGTGCGAAGGCCGGCTGGGTGGTGAAGTGCCGCGTCTGCTGGACACAAGGGGGAGAGGTCAGCAGCTCTGCAGTGACCCCAGAGGGGATGTGACCCACCCACCTTAACACTCACTGTGATCACAGGGGGTGCAAAGATCTGCTTTGTCCTGTCGGCTGAGATCAGCGTTCCAGCCCGGCTGTGCCCTCCGGGGCTTCCTGAAGAGAGACTGGGGTGAATGGTGGGGTGTTCCTGGGCATGGTCCCCCTCTCCAGGCGCTGCTGCCAGCCTTTGCCTACCCCAGGTAACCCCACCTGCAATGGTCCTCCCCCAGACTTCCCCATCCTTCCCCACCCCTCCCAACTGCCTTTTACCCCCATACTCTCCGCATCCTTCCCCATGCCCTCCCTATTGTCCCCCAGGCCCGTACCCTGCATGTTGAGGATGTGGGCCCCGGCGTGCACGGCCATGCCCTGCTGGTAGGCTGCAGCTGTCAGAGTCGTCAAATCGCTACAGGGCAAGAGAGAAGAGAGGCTGGCATGGCTCCCCTGCCTTTTCCACTGTTCCCCAGTCAGTCCCATCAAATCTAGCAGCAACGCAACACTGCATTCTGCAGCTCACAAAGTCACTTCATCAGGGAGTTCCCCATCTTAAGAGAATTGTAGCTTTCCACCCTCCCACCAAGTCATCTCTGATGCCTCCCTATAGCAAGACAGAAACCCTCTACGCCTTCCGCCAGAACAATACCCTCTCCCACACACCTGAACCAGGACAGGACCCTGCCCCACACATCCTCCCCCCTCACCTCTGCTCCTTGCGCCGGCGCTTCTCCTCTTCATGCAGCACCTTCTTCAGCTGTAGGAAAAGCTGATGCTTCTCCTCCTGTAGGGCCTGCAGCCTTTCCCCCAGCTTACTGATCTGTGGGGGGGCGAGGGAGGGGAGGAGAAGAGGGTCAGTGTGAGATGAGGGGACAGGGCCCAGACACCCAGCACTGGGATTCTGGGAGGAGGCAGCCTCTCCCTGAGAACAGGGCCCAGAGACCAGGCACTGGAGGAAGTGGGCTGTGATCTAGGGGGAGCCCCAGACCCCTCAATCCCTAGCCTGGCTCATAACCCCCCACCCCATGGAGCTGGAGGATAGGAGACCCACGCCACCACACTCACTTGTTCTTTGGTCTCCTCTAGAGACATGCGCTCCTCCATCTCCTTCTTGCGGCGCCGTTCCTGCTCTTCCCTCATCTTCTGTTCCATCATCTTATCCACTTCCTCCTCCTCTGCAGATACACAGCTAGGGTCAGGACAACCTCCCCCCCCAAAAAAATAGGCTAGAAATATGGAAATAGTGCAAGCTGAGGACAGCCCATCTGTCCCCTAGAAAAGAGATCCAGGGACTGGAACCTCAGCATCAGTGAGGGACTGTGAAACTGAGGGCTGGCCTTCATCTCAGCCACAAGAACAAACCAGGTGTTTGTGGGGAAGACCTGGCTGTGAACATATTGGGGCCAATGTTGCGGGTGGGAAGGAACCCTGCAGCACTGACTCTGTAGGAGTTGGAGGGCATGAGGAGGAATGTAATTAGTTTTGAGAGCCAGTTGGAGAAACTAACTACCAGTGGGGCTGCTGGGCGGACAACATGTTAAGGACAGCTTTGCTTTCTTGCCTTAAATCCTCACCAGGTTTTAAAGAACCCTGAGTTAAAAGACAAGCCTCAGCTTCTCCTAATCCCTTCAAACAGTGGGTTTGCCACACTTTTCCATTGGTGGACCCCTCAAAAATTTCTAATGCCAGCATGGAACCCTTTGGAAATTACAGACCTGGGCTGTGCCCGCCCCCCAAAGGGGTTGATGGACTATAGACTGCAAACTTCTGCCTCAGTTACATTAAAAAGTAAATATGGTGAATCCCCAAAACTCTAGTAAAACTTTGCATCAAAGGCCCCATCTGAAGAGCAAGCTGGGGGGAGGGGGAACACCTAACTTTGGAGGTTCAGGCTTATAAACACAGCCCTTGGGCACCTATTCTGTATTAAGTGCTCGTGTTTCACAAAAATCACACACGACAAGTAATGTTTCCATTAATCTTTTCCATCCATGCATGGACTTCTGCACATGAATGAAAGAATACATTTTGCTATGTGCACCAAACCATGTACCAATGGGTACCACTCGTGGAAACATAAACCTAGCTATGAGCAGGGCCAACTTTAGGAAGTGCGGGGCCCCCCAGGATTTTTTTGTTGAGCAAAAAAACCCAAAACACAAAAAAAGACGACTTAGGTAAGCAATTGCTGTGGAGCCTAAGCAATTAATCAAAGCCTATCCCCCAACAGAAGCCAAATTCAACCTGGTGTTACCCATCTATCACAGCTGGTCTGAGAATCACAAATCAGGCCAGAGAAGGTTTAGGGCCAAACCATGTATTTGAAAGTTTAAGTTACACGACAACAAGCAACTGCAACGAACCCACCTATCTATCTCAGAAAAAAGATAGAAAGGTCCCATACACAAAAGGGGTATACTTTACAGAATAGGAGACAGCAGTGGATGCCTGCAACCTACAATCCCTTGGCTAACTGAAAGCCTTAGGAGAGGATCAGCAGGGAGATCCCTCCAAGCACTGGTCTGTCCTCCGGAACAGATATGCCTCCTGGATCCTCGTCTCTGCTGTGGGTTGGCTTCTGTGGATGAAGCTCCCGTCAGCCCTTCAGCTTCACGGACCCGTCCGGTAGGCAGGGTTTAGTAGATGAGCAATAGAGTCCCAGTCCAATAGGCACCTGCCAGTGATCCGCTGTGTGGGGTGTTCCCACACGCAGAGCTGCCACAGCACCACGAGCTAGGCCTCAAAACCCTAACCAAACATCACAGCTCTGAGGTGAAATGAAATGTAAAATAGAACCTGTCAGACTCCATTTTGAATGTTGGAATCATTTGGAATCATTATTCCCTTAGCCTAACGTCTTCCTCTCCCCCTGCCCTGCCGTACCTTCTGCCTTCCACTTGGGGGCCGGAGTCTGTGCTCAGACCCCAAAAGTCCCCGGACTCCGAACTGGAAGGTAGGCCAGCACCACGCAGCACCAAACACTTTTAAAGTCCTGGGCCATGACGTGACATCACGTCACGCCCAGGCGTCTCCCCGGTCACCTGGAAATGCTGCATAGTGTGCGCAGGCAAGGCGAAGCCGACTGAATGCTGCGCACAGCAGGGATGGCTCGGGGCTGGGGGGACGGCCATATAACTTGCCGCCCATGGCAGGTGAGCCTGCACAGCGTGCGCTTGCTCTCACCCCAGCCCGGCGCCCCCCTAGCGTGGCGCCTGGGAGCAATTGCCCCTCCCGCCCTCCCTTCACTATGCCTCTGGCTGTTCCACTGTAGTGAC